GGCTCTGAGTTCTAACTTTTTCAAAGCTAATCTATTTTTTTTTTCTTTTGGAACCACCAACCAGCTTCCAAATCATAACAGGGAGACTTTTTATTAGTTATGAATGTTCAACCTAGCTTAACTTAACTTGTTTCTCTTTAATCTACCTTTTGTCTCGGGAATTTTTTTCTTTCCTTCTGTATATCTTACTTTCACTACTTCTTGTGTCTTGTTAACAGTTTCCCGGCTTCTGGTCCCAGGTTTCCCCCTGCCCTCCTTGTTCTCTTTTCTCTTCTCTCTTTCTTTAGTCTAGAATTCTCCTCCTATTTATTATCTCTTCCTGCCAGTCCCACCTATCCTTTCTCTGCTTAGCTATTGGCCGTTCCGTTTTTTATTAGACCAATCAGGAGCCTTAGGTAGGCAAAGTGACAAATGCAACACATGTTTACATAATTAAACCAACACAGTCCAAGCAAATGTAATACACCCTTACACTGTTAAACAAATGCAGCAGAAATAAGTGTAACACACCTTTACACAGTTAAAATAATATTCCATAGCATAAATACAGCACAGCTTTGCCTAATTAAGAAAATATCCCACAACAAACATAAATAAATGTAATTTTAAAAAGAAAAAGATGAGAATCCAAGTAAACAAACTTACTCTGTCTTGCCATGTGATGCCCTGGATAGCCTTGGGATTCTGACGAGAGTCAACCAGAGCAGGAAGGGCCTCCAAAGATGTGGCTGCTCCAACCTGAACTTCCCAGCTATTAGAGCAGGAAACCAAACAAGCTTTGTGATTTAATCTGTGGTATTCGGTTACAGCAACAGAAAACAAAGTAAGACACGTGGCCAAGTTAAGAGCATTCCAAATCTTTCTGCTCTGCTATCCTTTTAGCTTTCAATGCCTTCCATTGAGGGGAGCACTGAATCCACTTTGCTTGTGCCGGGCAAGTGCGGATCCACCGCTTAGCTCCATCCCTAGTGCTAGGTGGTGCTCCACCCCTTCCTGAGATAGCTCCTGCTGGCCTCAGATTGGCCTTGGGCCCAGAGCTTCCTTCCCCTTCCTCATTCTCCTCTAAATTGCTGGAATTGTGCATATGTGTCACCATACTTGGCTATATAAATCCCATCTTTAAACCATTTCTTTTTTCTCTCTTTTTGCTGTGGTAGTTAAATGTAGCCATGCAGCCTCTTCAGTATTTTGTTGTTTAGCGATGTCTTCTGTTGGATGCTCTAGTTTATTGCTCTTGAATTCTACTTTCCTAGAGTCCCGGAAATAAATGGAGTTCTACCATGTTCTTTCCAACTGTGTAACAAGATTGGTCTTAAACTCTAGTGGAGGCGGAAACTTTTTTTTTTCTTTTCTCAATAAAAAAAAAGTGAAAAATAAAAAGAGAACTCATGCCAAGTCACAGGCAGAGTAAGCAAATAATCACAGTGTATTTGAAGAGATGAGGAAGCAGTGTGGAGAGGAGGTGCCCTCTCCAGAGTGGGGGTGGACAGAATTGAGTGTCAGGTCCTGGTCTGCCATCTTTCCTCCCCTTCCCCACTCTCTGGGTGGTGGGGAAGGTGTTCTTTGTAGAATAGGTGGAAGCTTTCTTAGAAGCCCTCTTCCTACAATTCAATAATTAGATGCGTGAACCTGCTTATGGGCTCAACTGCCCATAACATTGAGAAGTTCACTAGGGGAAAGGGCAGTGACCACCTGCGCTTTCTGGGGCTGGGGGATGGGATAAGAATGGGACTTGAAGACCAGAACTCTGTCCTATCTCTTATCTAGTCATCTTGGCTGTATATCCAGTAGTAGTGGCAGACATACACAGGCAAAACACCCATCTACACAAAGAAGAAAATAATTAAAAAAAAAAGCTAATCTATTTTTAAAATGAATTTAAAACCCCCAAACAAAAACAAAACAATCACAAACACAAACAAATACAGAATCAATTAAATAGCCAAGAAATTGATTTTCAAGTAATCAACAGCTGACACATTTACGTATTTATCCCACTTGGTCTTGTGTGTTTGTATTTTGACTGATTAATTAACATCCAGTTGGCTTTTCTCGTCTCATAGCCTGCGTTCAATTGACTGTGCTATTCAATTTCCTGTGTTGGAGTCCGAGTGCCCCAAGGCTCAGACCGTTTCACTCATACAACAAAACACCATTCTTGTTGAGCTATATGCAATTAAAGCACAGCAGTATGTAAGAGAAATACTTCACCTCAGAGGTCTACGTCAACCTTTGTTACTATAATTACTTTGCAAAACACACACACACACAGTGGCAAAATAAGAAGGCAAAACAAGTGCAATTTTAAGATTGAAGAATTAAAAAAGAGAAGCAGAAATATAATTTGTTTTGTTTTTGTTTATTAAATCCATGCACTAAAAATACCAACAAAATGCCACCCACAACAGATGCTCAGAATTAATGAATTTAGAATTTGTAAACATCAAAGAGCTTCTGTGGTCAGGCATGGTTGTCCAGTGTCTTTTGTTCAAGTACTCAGAAGGCAAAAACAGGTAGGTCTCTGTGAGTTCTAGGCTAGTCCAGTTTACATACTAAGTTCTAGGCCAACCAGGCCTACAAAATGAGACTGTGTATCAAAGAGCAAAACAAATAACAAAAGGTCTAGCTTCTGAATCTTGTATCTGAATGTGGTAGGTGTGTACAGTTTTATGCTTAAATATGTACTTATGTAGGTAAATGAGAGTTCATGTGATATACGAATTGGACACTGTCCTTAACTAAATACCTATGCTGCCCAGGCACTTTGTTTAAATACTGCATGTTTGTTCTTTTACTTAGTTTTATAATCCATATATATATGGCATTTTTATATATATATATATATATATATATATATATATATATATTATATACATATGGAGAGAGAGAGAGAGAGAGAGAGAGAAAGAGAAATACTATGATTCCAGAAAGATAGTTCAATGTAATTAACTTGTCACTCTAAATGTTTTAATAACATAAGTTCTTGACTTTGTTTATGTAACTATACTACCGCACATAGCCTACAATCTACAATGGGGAAAAAAATAAACCTCTCAGTCATAAACATGCCACTTTCTCAGTCTCTATTGCTTTAATAGGACATTTTCAAACTAAAATATTTATATCTTTTTCAGATCATAGTGTGCAGGACATTATTGTTACATAGCTGTTTATGTATGCACAGTGAACGATGATGGGCAAGGGATTTGGACTAAGGCTCTCTGTCTTCTAGGCTTTCACTCCAGAGCTCTCTCAGCTCTTGGCTGAGTGTTGACTTCTAGAAGAGAGTGGAACATGGTTTGGGTGGTTCTACCAACCTTGTTTCTGCCAGAGCTAAGCTGAGGGTGTAGTGCTTTGGCTAGTTCGGAATGTTTTTCAGATCTGTCTTTCCCTGACCAGATTATACATTATTGTCAGCCACCTTCTACTATAATGCACTGACATGTAACAGGAACTGGGAACCCTCCCAGAAGTTCCCTGCTTATATGAGATTGTGGTCACAGCTCTTCTTGTCTGTCATAGAGTCCTGGTATGCTGCTGTTGTACCCCAAAGACATAGTCAACTTTTTTCCATTCTTCTGGTCAGAGTTTGGGTCCTAGGATCCTAGATGCTGAAATAAGTAGGGGAGTCACCGCTAAGTTCCTTTGCAATGTTGGGACATCCATTTTCAGTCTCCAGGCCTAACATATCTGGCAGACTTTTCTATCAAATAGGATATTCTGAAGGGCAGTCCCTCATTGTCTTGACAATGCTTGAAAACCACTTTCTTTTGTGTCCCTCTTGTCTAATTAAGAGAGCATATTGTCAGTAGTCGAGGCAGGGGCATTTTCTTGCCCAGTGACTTACTTTTGCCACAAAGAAAGTAAACTCCATGTGGAGTTTCTTTGATGCCCATTATATTCTCTGAATTAGAATGGGTGCTGCCAGGAGCAGACATGTCTCATTGTCATAAAAAAAAAAAAAAGCCTAGGTTTTGAAAAGATCATAAATGCCATATTCTGTAGATCTCTGAAATGTTTGAAGATTACCTGTCTATATAAAACATTTCTTTGTTAGACCTTGAAAACGTACTTAATGTTTTTACAAGTTTGATTATATTAGGTGATTAATTACTAACCTGCATTTGCCTATTATCTTAAACAGTTGATAATAATAACTTTCAAGTGATAGAAATTCGCATTACATTGTTAGGTAAGTTGTAAAATTACAATATCTTGAAAAAGATTAGAAATGTATGTATAGTATGTTCTAACAAAACTAATCTCAAATTTGTATCAATAGTCAAAATCCAATCCAATATAAAACATTTAAAACTAGTAGTTGCTTTTAAAAGTAGATTCAGTAATCTACCCCTTTCACTTAACTATATCCTTTCTTTTGTTTTTTCAGAGTAGATTCAATAATCTACTCTATTAATCTATCATGTCTATATCCCCGCTTTTTCAAAACAACAACATTGAACCTAATTTCCTTTGATTAATTTTTTCCTGTCCATTATCAATATTAACTTGTAAGCAACACACTAAACAAACACAAACACCTATAATCCATTTTTGAGAATGTGGTCATAGTTTTTAGTCTACTTCCTACTTATTGGGAGTGGTGATAATCTTATGGGGATCCAAAAAAATTTAGGATTACAGTCAAGTCCTGATTGAAGTATTCTGTGAGACTGGATTATTTCATTCAGCAGTCTTGAAGCTGTTTTGGATGTAGAACTCAGAGGAAACTGTAACAGAGGTGCTCTAAAATGTTGTATCATCTGGGCCTATCTGAGATTTTTCAGGGGGTCTTCCTCCATCAATCCTTATTTTTCTTTTTTTTTTTTCCAAGCCAAACTGTATCCAGCTTTATTAAAGACACTTCCCATAAACAATCATGGTTTTCCAGGCAGAACATGGGCAGACAATCAGTAACAGTATACAAGAACTTCCAAACTCTTTTCTTGTATCGACTACCAAAATCAGAAAGCCACTATAAAACCCGGTGAGTCTCCATTGAATGCTCTGAAAGGGGGAGGAGTTTAGAGTGAGGGCTGACATAAAACCCGGTGAGTCTCCATTGGATGCTCTGCAAAGGGGGAGGAGTTTAGAGTGAGGGCTGACATTTCACATCTAGGATGTTGTTTCACAACTCTTCACAAGCCGACCCTGACTTTCAGGAAATGAAATGAAAATGGCAGAATTATCAATGTGCAGATCCACAATCTTCTATAAAAGGAACCGCTGCGCTTTTGAGGACACTCAATGGTATCACTGCAAAGTCCGGATTGCCCAACAGACTGGCAAAACCAATTTTGGGGATCAGGTTCCAACAGGTCTCTGGTCTTAAGGGAGTTAAGTCTATGTTGATGGTACAGGGGAGGAGGATATAAAAATGAACTGAGTTTTCCCACACAAGGCATATTGTGCCATGGTGGCCACACATGTCAACATGTCCCCAGGGGGTCTCTCCTGGGAGCCAAGAGGAGTCTTCAAAATTATCAGAGAAAGATGTTTTCCATCATGAACCATCATCCATCCAGCTTGGGAGACACTGCTAGTGACACATGTTCCTTCCCCTCCAAAACAATGAAGTGTTCTGTGTGCTAACAACATAGCTTTAAAAAAAAAAGTAAAACAAAATTCTGCATTTTTATAAAACTTGATAAAAAATAGTATTTCAAACTGTACAGTCACCAGAAGTACACAGTTATCAAAAATGCACACATTTCACTTGGCGTCCCCAGCACCTTCAGCTTTTTGTGCCTGGTCTGTTTTGGCATCTCCATTCTCTGCAGGATTATTGGCATCCTTACCAGCATCGGCCTTCCCCTTCTTCCCCTTGGGTACCTTCTCTCCCTTCTTTGCGGGGGCCTTTTTAGGCTTGGGCTCTGGCTTTGGAGGAGCAGGTTTAACAGACAACCTTGCCGATCTTCTCTGTGGCTCGTCCTTCACCTTGGCTTTATCTCCTTTAGTATCCCCTTCAGCCTTTCTTTTGGGCATGGCGGCGGCGGGGGGGAGGGGAGGGACGTCGGCACTGAACGCAGGGCTGCAGCGGTGAGCGGCTCGGGTCCGTCCGGGGGTCGTTCTCGCCGCTTCTTCACACTGCTCAATCCTTATTTTTCTTAACCCAGAAAAAATCCACACCCTCTCATTTCTCGTGGAAACAAAAGCAAAGTTTCTTCTCCAAAGTAACCTATCTTTTGACATAAATTTTAAAGTCAAGGCATTTTCAAAATACATAGTTTGGATTAATCCAACAGCATTTATAATGAAATATCTTTTAGCAGCTGTTGCTCCTTCCTCAGAAGTCAGACAATTCAAGACAGCACATTAACATACAGTATCCAGATTCTTTCTGTATTTTCCATCTTTATGTGACTTTTTTATAACTCATTTATTTTATTTTAAATTTTTGGTGTTTTTTTGAGTCAGGGTTTTTCTGTATATCTTTGGTTATCTTGTAATTCACTTTGTAGACCAGGCTGGCCTTGAACTTACAGAAATTTGCCTGCCTCTGCCTTCCAAGTACTGAATTAAAGGTGCATGCCACCACAACCAACTTCTTTCTTATTTTTAAGGACTTTTCTATCCTTTCTCTTTTCTCTTCCAGGTGTATGTATATTTTTAAACACACTATAAACATTTTAGAGTTTTTTCACCTGAATCTGTCTTTACTGTATATCTTTTTTTTTTTCCTTCACCACATGAGTCTTTAATCTTCTAAGTGATATGGCTAGGATTAAAACTGTGGTTTTGGTGGCTGGCTCCATCCTGTTCCTTAGCTTTTGGAGAGTCTAGCTTCATGGCAGAGGTACTGGTGAGAGCCACATGTATTTCCAGAACTCTGTGAAGTTTCTAGGTTCATACCACCACCAAGAAGCCTGACGCCAACTACTCATAAACACCATTTAAGTGTTTGAGTGGCAGAACCTCTTAAAAGAGCTGCTAATACTGAGTCAGGAAGCCTCTCTTAAAGAAGCAGCTGAAGAAAAGATGGTTACCAAGAAGATGCACTTTTTTCTTGACTATAGAACCATGTGGCCAAAGCTTCTAGTTTCTTCTGCTTGCGGCTGGAACATGCCCCCCCCCCTCATTCAATTACATCTTCACTAGTTCTCTGTTTTTGATGATTTCTTCTTGAGGGGGCCTCACAGGATAGTAGCCTTGCGAAGCTATGGGTGGATGGCTGGGGCAGAAGAGGAAGCTAAGTCATAGTAGATGGGAGCTGGGAGCACTAGTTTTTCTCCTAAACCCAGGTGGCTAGGTTTGGGTCAACTATGCCAATGGTTAAATAGTCTCAGGCAAATGACTTTTTCATTAATTTTCACTCCAAAAGTTGGGCACCAAGTGAAGCATGATTGATAAAAACTCAGATCTAAAAATTGGAGTTCAACTTGAAGGTCAGAAAAGCAAAACAACCAGCTACTGGCTCTTAGCCTTACTTCAATCCAAAATGGTGATCCTGCCTCTAGGAAACTTCAGAATGAGACTGAGACTGAAAGCTGTCTTATCCCATTTTATAATCCTTTCGCATTCTGGGATTCGAGGTATGTATCACTATGACCTGGTTTCTATGGCAAACTCGTGAGGCTTTTGGGATTAAAGGTGTGTGCTATTGCTGCCTGGTCTATAAAGCTGGCCAATGTGGCTGTACTACTTTTCTGATCCTCAGGCAAGTTTTATTTATTAAGATACAAGTGAAATGCCACTATATTTAATATCTCCATTTGTGTGATCCTTGGGTTAGCTAAGTTGCTTTCTATGTCTAGGTTGTCAATGCCTGGACAGTTTCTCCTTAGGCCCAAGCAGGATAGATGTGGCTTTCAAGGTGAAAGCAGGAGAAAAAAATCTATTTGGGGACTTGAAAGATGGTTAAGAAGAGTGCATACAGCTCTTGCAGAGGAGCCAAGTTCATTTCTCAGCACTCACATTAGACAGTTCACAATTGCTGTAACTCCAGCCTAAGAGGATTCAACACTCTTCTCTAGCTTCTGAAGGCACCTGTACTCATGTGCAAATCCTTATACATCGATGCTCAAACATCATCAGAAATTGTAGGAGGAGGCTGCTTGTTTGTCCTAGCTGCCCATAACCCAAGTAACCACACAGAAACTATATTAGATAAAACACTGCTTGACCTATTAGCTCTAGCTTCTTATTGGCTAACTCTTCTATTAATTTAACCCATTTCTATTTATCTGTATATCGCCATGTGGCAGTGGCTTACTGGCAAAGTTTCAGCATGTCTGACTTTGGCGAGTCCATGGTGTCTCTCTGAGTCTGCCTTCTTCCTTCCAGCATTCAGTTCCATCCTCACTGCCTACCTAAGTTCTGCCATATCAACAGGCCAAGGCAGTTTCTTTATTCATTAATGGTAATCACAGCACACAGAGGGAACTCCCATATCGCCTCCCCTTTTCTGTTTAACCAAAAAAGGAAAATGGTGTAGGAGGTTCTTCTGTCTATGTGTTGCTTCATTAGTAAATAAAGGAACAACTTTGGAACTATAGCAGAGCTGTAGGGGAACAGAACTAGGCGAGGAAAACTAAATGAAATGATGGGAGGAAGAAGGAAGAGTTAGAAAAACGCCATGGAGCCGACAGAGTCAGACATGCCAAAACTTTGCTGGTAACCCACTGTTGCATTGCAATACACCAATTAATGGAGATGGCTTAAATTAATATGTAAGAGTTAGCCAATAAGAAGTTAGAGCTAATAGGCCAAACAGTGATTTAATTAATACAATTTCTGTGTAGTTATTTTGGTTCTGGGTGGCTAGGACAAACAAATGGCTGGGACAAACAAGCGGCCTCCTCGTAAATTCAGAGAAGACTCCCACATCATGAAATGAAATAAATTGATCCCCCTCCCATTGTAGGTCCAGCTGCTGGTCAGCAACTAAGACTCCTATGGGCAGGCCCTCCACCACTCCTACCACACATTGAACTCTGCAATCTACAAGTCTCACTCTGCCACACAAACACATGGAATGCATCTTCATCCCCCAATCCAAACACTCCCCATGGCATCAGTGGCCCCCAGAGACATAGGCACCACTGGTATGAACTGGAGAAAGAAGTGACTGACTGGTATCTTACCTGAGTAGCCCTGCTTTCTAGGCCCTAGACCCTGGGACACATCCGATGTCCATCCCCCTCCCATTGTAACCCCTAGAAGCCAGTCAACAGTTAAAACTCCAGCAGGCAGGACATTCGACCACCAGACCACCCACTGAATTGTGTATTGTACAAGTTACACTCTGCCCCACAAACTCACAAAATGCACCATCCCCCCTCTCAGCTAACCATCTCCAACAGTGGCAACAGTGCCCCTACCTCGAGACACTGGCACCAATTGCACTTATTGGAGGAAGAGCCCAATCAGTTAGTCAGGAGAACCCCTGGGAGCAGAGGTACCACCTGCACCTACTGGAGGAAGAGATGGGTAGATGGCAGGGTATGAATGCATTCAAAACATAAAGAGCAATATGGCACCACAGAAACTAGTGGTTCTACAACAGCAAGATCTGAACATTCCAATGGTGATGAAGCAGAAAAAAAAAACCTTAAAATAACTTTATAGAGATGATAGATGTTCTTAAAGAGAAAAAAACTCCATTAGCAGAATTGAGGAAAAGACAAAAATTGAATGAAATCAATAAATTCCTTTAATACAGCCAAAAAAGCAACCAAACAACTGAAAGAAACAGTTCAAGACTTTAAAATTGAAATAGAGGCAATAAAGAAAACAAAAACCTAAGGAATTCTGGAAATGGAAAATCTGGGCAAATGAACAAGAACTACAGATGCAATCATAACCAGCAGAATAAAAGAGATGCAAGAGTGAATTTCAGGCATTGAAGATACAATGGAGGAAACAGATACATCGATCAAAGAAAACATTAAAGTCAAAAAAGTCTTAATACAAAACATCCTGAAAATCTGCAATACCATGAAAAGACCAAACCTAAGAATATTAGGGATAGGAGAAAAGAAGAATATCAGCTCAATGGTACAGAAAATATATCCAATGAAAACATAGAAGAAAATTTTCCCAACCAAAAGAAAGACATGCCTCTGAAGATACAAGAAACTTACAGAATGCCAAATAGACTGGACCAAAAAAAAAAAAATCTCCTTGTCACATAATAATCAAAACACTAAATATACAGAATAAAGAATGTTAAGAGCAGCAAAGGAAGAAGGCCAAGAAATATATAAAGACAGACACATCAAAATAACACCTGACTTCTCAATGGAGACTTTGAAAGTCAGAAAGTCCAGGACAGACATTATGCAAAAATGATGAGACCACAAATACTAGCCTAGACAAAACTTTCAATCACCATAGATGAAGAGAACAAGGTATTCCATGACAAAATCAGATTTAAACAATACCTACCACAAATCCAATCCTGGAGAAAGTACTAGAAGGAAAACTCAAACCCAAGAAAGTTAGTTGCACCCACCAAAACACAAACGATGGATAATCTCGTACCAGCAAATCCCACAAAAAAGGTAGCACACAAACACTACCACCAACAAAAACAAAACAAAAATAACAGAAATTAACAACCACTGGTAATTAATATCCCTTAATAATAATGGACTCAATTTGCCTATATACAGACACAGTCTAACAGAACAGATATGAAAACAGGATTCATCCTTCTGCTTTGTAAAAAACAAACATCAGCTTTCCAGAGAGAAATTACCTCTGAGTAAAGGGTTGGGAAAAGATTTTTCCAATCAAATGGATCTAAGAAACAAGCTGGTATATCTATTCTAATATCTAACAAAATAGACTTTAAACTAAGATTAATCAAAAGATGTAGAAAGGGACATTTTATATTCATCACAGGAAAATCCATGAAGATGAAGTGCCAATTCTAAATGTTTATGCCCTAACTATAAGGGCACACACATTTATAAAAGAAACATTATTGAAAGTTAAATCACATATCAAACCCCACACACTAATAGTAGGAGACTTAAATATCACTTGCTCCCCA